GCCCTAGGTCAAAATTCAAGTGAGTTATTATACAACGATTCGTCGTCTTTTAATAACATGCATGCAAGACCATAAAAAGTGATGGAAACAAGTCAAACAGAATGGCATATTCTCCTAGGGACGTTTCCAGCATGACAGGCTTCACAGAGTTCTGTATATTAACCTTTCCATACTCCAGAAAACAGACCATTGGAGATCCATGCCCTCCTGAAGTCAGCACCACATTAGCTGCTGCTCAGTCCCTCTGGCACAGTCTCTATCTGTGCATGACATCAACAACCAGTTATGCTGGTGTCACACGCTCTACTGATTTACCCATCAAGCCCTAAACAATCACAATTTTTAAGGCTCTGAAAAGGCAACACAGATGGGCCATCTGAGGACACAGTTTTCAACCACTGCCCAGACACGCTGGAGGAGATGTAAGGGTCACTGTGATATCATTCCCCTTCAAGGAAACTGCAGGAGGCACAGACTGCTCAGTGCTGCTCTGCCAGCAAAATCTGGCCACCATCCCAGCTCAGGGAAAACCACCCCAGGGCAAAGGTGATTTGCAGCAGGGCAAAGCTGGCATTAAATACCCCTTCTGCTGCACAAGAGGAAATGGGGGTGTGCAGGTCCTCAACTACCTTTGCAGCTCCTTGCCACAGACTGGCATACACAAAAGCAGCCTGGAGGCTGATCTGACAGTGCAGGGGAAATGGCTAGGCACAGGGCAGCAGTGGGGCTGGGGCTGCAGGTGAGGTGTAGCCAATGTATCTTTGCACGGTTTCCTGAGCTGAGTTCCATGAAGTGTGGCTGTACCTAAGACGCCCAGTAAATTAAGTCTTTGCTGTTGGGAATGGGAGAAGAGTGAAGGCCCCTTTCAGCTGTCACTTTGAGAAAGCATGGGGTGGCACTGTAGCACAGACATCTTTATTACAAACACCCCCCACCACGCTACTCTAGCCCCACCACCATTCGATCTGGAAGCAGGGAGAGATCCCACACCTCAGAGGCCAGGAAGTTAAAGCAACTTTGCTAAGTAGTTAGGGTCAAATGTTTTTTGTTTAAGTTTCACAAAGCTTGACCTGGACTGGATGGTTTTCCTGAATGAAACCAGCTTCTTTTGAAACAAAACATTCCCCAGTGTCAAAGTGTGGGAACCAGAAAGCAAAAGTGCTTAGAAACCTGTGTTCAGAATGGGGGAAAAAAGATATGCTGCACAATTTCTCTCATTCCTTGCCCTGCATTTTTTTCCCCATCTTCCACCCATAGTAGATAAAGGCAGGGGTGTTATGCGCATTGCTACTTAGCATGAAACTAAGCTGATTTTTTTCACCCAAACCACAGAAGCATGTGGTGGATTTGTGTCTGTTTTGGTGAACAGCTTCAACTGGCACAAAATGGAAAAAAGGATCAGAAAAAGTCACAGAATTTGTTTCGACAGGCTCTGTGTGAAGCATTCTGGGTGTCTGACTTGAGATGCTAGTCTGCTTTTATATTTATAGTTTCATAGTTTCATAGTTTCTAGGGTCGGAAGGGACCTGGGCAGATCATCTAGTCCGACCCCCTGCCACGGCAGGAAAGAGTACTGGGGGTCAAACGACCCCAGCAAGATGGTCATCTAACCTCCTCTTAAAAACCCCCAGGGTGGGAGCCTGCACCACCTCACTTGGAAGCTTCACTTGAACTTAAAATATTTAAAAAACCCTTGACATGAAAGCTCAGGAATGGAGCAAAAATTATTTGGGGTTTGAAAGAAATATTTCAGTTGAGAATTTTTGGTTTTAATGCCTGTAGTTGGTAATAGGGTTTTTTTGGCGGGGCGGGGAGGGGCGGTCATCCCCAAATCATTCTTTTTGTCTGATGTTTTCAGCTCAGCTAGTCAACTGAGACATCAGTTAGTCCCTGCAGCTCTGCTCAGCACCCCTGGTCTGAGCACAAGGAGATGTGTGTGGGGGCTGGATACACACATAGCACCTCGAACTTAAGCTGTGTTTGGAAGTCTAACTATCCCATCCATCCAGTTTATACAACCAAAGGCTTTATTAGGAAAACTTGATGAAGGGCCATTGCCAAAGGAAAACAAAATGACCCAGGGCATCAGTTCATTTTCCACCTCTTGATCTCTTCCAGTCAAGCCTGGCTTTCTTTCTGGAAGATGCCTTAGCAAAACACAGATTATTTGGTTTAGGACTAAGGGAACTGGATGAATTATCTGCCCTGGAGTACAGAGAAGGTCGAAGGAGATGCAGATTCATAGTCCCTTTTGGCCTTACACGCTGCAGAACAATAAATATCCCCTAAAATGTCTTGGTCATGTGACTCAGGTTGCTGGCTGAATAAAACAAGGTCCTACATGTAACCACATGTCATATCACCCTCCATCTGCACTAACCTGAGAACTGACCAATGTCCAGCTTTCTGGGAATGTCCTAGGCATCCATGGGCAGAAATGTACTGATGCTACTGAATATCAGAAAACATGGAGGGAGACAGGGGACAGAGGAAGTCTCTTGCATCTATCAGAGCCAGCAGCTTCATCTACTTCTGGAGTTGTCTATAGATCAAAGAACTGGAGTTGGCAGTCATTGACATCTTCCAGCTTAACACTTCTCATCTCTGCCCCACAGAAGATGGTACTAGTAGTGGTTAATATGTCAACCCCCTGCATGGCTCATCACCAGAGAGACAAGAAATAAAAAAGGAGCGGGGCACAAAAGCACTGGAGGAGAATAGTCTGGTTGTGGGTTGTCAGGAACACACAGAGTCTTTGGTATGGGGCAAAAAGAGCTGGGGGAACACAGCCTTTGTCTTAATGAGAGAGGGACATGGGGCATGAAGGCAAGGAAGGAATGGGGGGGCATGCAAGAAACTTTGGCATGGCAAAAGGGGGAACAGGATATACTGGAATGGAGGAAGGAAGCACATGGAGTACACAGAAGTCCTGGCCTGACTTACGGAGGAGGGAAGGGCAGAAAACAGGGAGCTTGAGGGGGCAGAAGAGCCCCTGGTATGTGTAGGGAGCTCGGCCAACAGAAGCAGTGAAGTGTGAGACCCTCCAGTTATATTATACTCACCTACTTAATGACCTGGGGAGAAGAGGACACCTCTTAACTAGCTGAATATAAACCACAGCATTTCTGTTTTTCAGTCCCACACTCTGGGAACTGGTTGAACAGGATGGGCAAGTCTCCAGGTACATGAAAACCCACCCGGCAACAGCTCTCAGCAGGGAATGCTTTGGTAGGATGCCCTGCTCTTTTAGAAAGTACAACACCCCCCAGCCAGCCAGAGTTAAGGGAACATGCATTACCCATTCACAGCATCTTCATTTCTTCCTAAAGAGCGAAATACTTTGACCAACAGTAAACACATAGCTTTTAGAGACTGCAGTTCATCCGAGGAGCTCAAAGCACTTCACACAGTAAAGGAACTAGCATTATTTCCAGGTGGGGAAACTGAGGAACACAGAGGTTAAGGGACTTGCCTAAAGCTGTAGCCTGGTGACATCTCCAGACTCCTCTCCCAGTGCACTGTGTGCTGGATCACACTGCTTCTCATCACAAACTGTATGCACAAAGTACGTGTCACTCAGCACTGAAATGCAGCTACATCTGGGGTGAAGCATGAAACTGTAAACAACATCAGTGCTGAGCAGTTTAAGGCAGGGAGTGGAGAATGCCTCACCCAGCTGTGTCTGCAGGAGCATTGCTAGGTAGGCAGAATGTAATAGCTCAGACTGCAATCTGACCTAGTTTAGTAGTAACCATGGAGGCAGGGGTTTGATCATGTGCCTTAGCAGGTCCTACCAATGAGAAGCCACTCAGGAGTTTGTGGTTAACACCATGTACAAGGAGTCAGTTAGGTGGGAAAGTCCTCAGGCTGTGACTTGTGCCCTTGCTGGTAACTCATCATGCCGGGCATTCAAAACACAGTAGTGTACATGACAAAGCAACCTCACACAGGACAGCAGATGCGTTTTTCTGAATGACGCTACTAAGGGAGACTCCCTTGACTCTGCTTAGAGATTCTGAATTTTCCTCTCTGTGGGTCCATGTTTTGCAAGTTCAGATGGGCTTTGGCTGGAACATGAATCCTTAGCAAACCTAGTGCAGGGAAATAAGCTTCACTGCTGGGGAGCTTTATTCCCCATTCCTCCTCATGCAATCATCCGCATCAATGCAAAGTTGAAGTAAGATGCCCCCAGGCTGATGCAAGGAGAGTGTTTTACTTGCTGCACTGGCAGATAACTGTGCAAGGTGCAGGTGAGGGGGGATCAGACCCTGCCTCTAGGAGTGGGCAGACTGTTGTATGGGGCTCAGCTCTTCCAAATGGGGATAGCTGTTAGCTCCCAGCACCCACTCACCTAAAACAGGGCACCTAGCTTCCCTCGGGAATCCCCACAGTAATTCTTGCAGCTGTCGTTACATTTTAGGGAGTGTAACAGTACATATAATCTCCTTTAAGAGCAGCCATTACTAAAACCATTGAGACCCCATGCCACATGGAAATAGCCGGGACAAGGCAGGATTCAAGCTACAGCCAGAGGGGGAAGAGTAATTGCAACACAGCACTGAATTCACCTACTACACCCATGTGTCTAAATCCAATCTACGCACCAAGATGGCTCTGTGGGTCCAAATGATGCAACTTGTTTTTCCACTGAAGAACAAAGGACTATTAAATCCCATGACAAGCTGCTATAAAACATCCATTTTCAGCACAATCCACTTTCCCTAATTAGGGTGGGATTCTCCGCTGGTGAACATCACTGAAAGAAGCTGATGAATCTCCATTTACACCGATTAAGGTTTTGGCCCATACATCTCAATAATGCTGAGATACTCTAAAGTTCAGGTCCTTTGCAGCTACTGTGAATCCTGAAGGCAGAGTGATAAGGGAATCCCAGTTCAGGACCACAATCTGTTAACAGCGGGACTGGGTCACCTCCTCAGGTGAGAATATACAAATGCTAGACCAGGCTGCATTAACTCCTGAGGTGCTCACTCTCTTACCTGCATCATCTCCCTCAGTTAAATATCCACCCAGTTGCATCAATTGCCTCATTTTCTCTTTGGAGATCTTCATGTATTTGTCACAGTTGCACACCTGAAAAACAGAAAAGAGAGGCAGATATTAGTGTGCCCTTCTGCCACACTATTTGGCCAGGCATCCCAGCGCATTTTTAGGCTAATGAATTCACCTCATAACTCTCCTCTGATGTGGCTCAGCAGCATCAGATGGGGAAAGAGAGGTACAGAAAGGCATGAGTCATTGAGTCAAGATGAGGCTGAGAGAGAACTGGAGTAGATCTGAGAGAACCGATTTTCTGACACCTAGGTCTATGCTGTGTCACAAGGATAATAATAAAAGTTATGAGAAAATGCACTGCAGCCCTAAGTCATCTCTGTCCTCACTGACCACACAGCCAGGGTGGTGCTATCAGCCTGCTGATCAGAGGTATTTCTCAGGCAGAGTCCATATTTAGAGTCAGTTATGGTGCCTCTGTTGGTCCTGTGACTGACAGCCTCC